GATTGATTGCAGCCTGACTCAACAATGCTAGTTTCGGCTCTTGTCGGCAATTGGTTGCGGGGCATTGATAAACAATTTTCTGCACATATTCTTATGGGGGTGGCTGCCTTATGTTGGGCATTGTGGCTTACCAGGAATGATATGGTTTTAATAATAAATGTGGTTCTTCTCCTGTGCAGGTTATTCATGCATGTACGTGATGGCTCCATATACTTCGTCTATCCTGCGAAAGTTGGAGGACATATACCTTTTTATAATGGCATCTACATGGCTGGAGCGTACGATCAGGTAGGTTTTCTCCCTCCATGGATGGCGATGTAATCTCTGTATAGGATCTGCCCAACCGTAGGCTGGATTGATTTTTTTTTTTTGCAAAACAATGTTTATTTTTCGGAAGTTTGGACTTGTTATTTGTGTGCATCATGTTATATAGAGGTCGGGCATTCTTTAGATACGGTTGTATCACCTTGATCAGTCAATTCAATGAAATATCCTTTATCGAAAAACAACTATGAATGCACTATTAGAGCATCTCTAGCGTATCCCACATATGGGGTTATCCGCGATAGTAAATACCGGTTTATGGGATCCATCCCGTATCCCCGGCCCGAACAAATACTCCAAGTCGGGCCGTCCCAAAACAATTTGTGGGATCCCGCGTCCGCGAGGCCAATTCCTCCATATGTGCGGGATTCTGATACGTCTCCGTCGTATCTATAATTTTTTATTGTTTCATGCTAATATTATACAACTTGCACATACTTTTGGCAACATTTTATATTATTTATGTGACTAACATATTGATCCAGTGCCCAGTATCAGTTCCTGTTTTTTTGCATATTTTTTGTTTCGTAGAAAATCCATATAAAACGAAGTCCAAATGCAATAAATTTTTAGGAAGATTTATTTTTTAATATATGTGATTTTTAGGAAGAAGAATCAACGCAAGATGGTGCCCAAGGTGGCCACAAGGCAATAGGGCGCGGGCAGGGGGTAGGTCGCATCGTGTTTCCTTGTGACTCCCTCGTAAGTCAGTTGGAGCCCTTCTTTCGACGCAATAAATATAATTTCTTGATAAAAATCCCTCAAAATTTCAGCCCAATCGGAGTTACGGATCTCCGAGAATTTAAGAAATGGTGAAGGGTCAGTAAACAGGAATGCAAAAGAGAAGAGAACAGAGAGAGATCAATCTCGGAGGGGCTCCTGTCCTCCGGGAGCCATGGCGGACAAGGACCAGAGGGGAAACTATCCTCCCATCTAGGGGGAAGGCCAAGGAAGAATAAGGAGGGGGCTCTTTCCCCCTCTTTTCCGGTGGTGCCGGAGCTCCGCTGGGGTAACCATCGTGACGACGATCTACATCGAGAACTTCTCCGCCATCAACACGAACCCTTTTCCCCTCAAGACGAAAAGATCGTTGGGACTACGCGGACATGACTGCAATGCCCTAGAAGTAAGTTCAATCGATCATTATCGCACCATATCGGCAACTTTGTTCATTTCCTAATATCAAGTAATTATTCTTTGTCTGGCAGGGCTTGCAAAGAGCTCACCGGAATTGTTCCGAAACTGCCGAGGGAGCTGCGATTTACACACCCGAAAGTAAGTAGTACTAGCTAGTTCCGCGCATCTCCCATTGATTATAGTTTCATCAATACCATTTATCATGCTTGATTATCATTTTGATTGAACTCTATTTCTCGTAAAGTGCTTGTGGCAGGAAGGCGGGAATAATTTATGTGGATACTACATTTGCGAGTTCATCTACAACGTGACCTCTCAGCGGGTCTACTCTGAAAAACAATATGAAGTACGTAAACAATAATATTCACAATTTTATTTTATTACCATCATTTGTGTTGAGTTTCATTCATATATATGACCCCCTTCTTTAAATTAGATCTTGCAAATGCGGGATGAACTCCTACCACATGATCGCATACGAGCAATTCAAGGGAAATTGACGGGTTTTTTTTTCTTGACCACGTCATAAATGAGAAGGGAGAATACCATGTGGAAATTGAAAGGGATTTTAGATGATTTTAGGGATTGTAAGACATGTTATATTGTATATATCTAGTAGTGTCGGATAGATATACGAGAACTTGTTGTTCGACCAATCTCTCAGAGAAAGAGAGGTCACTTCTCTCTATATATGTTCATGGTGATCTTCTGTACTTAATGGTTCCTTCATTTGCTTACTAGCTAGCGTGTTGAGTTCTCTCTCTATATATATAGTAGCTAGCGTCGACCAAGCATGAAGAAAGAAAGGTCACTTCTCTCTATTAACTAGCTAACACAATATGAAACCCCTAAATTAACCCTCCAAAACCACCTAACCCCCCCTTAAAAAATAACGAAAACCCCAGCTCCTGCCAGCTACTGACGCGTGGCTGCCTTTTGGTTTCGGTGTTACCAAGCGGGACTAAAGGTCCTCCTGCCTGGGCGCCCCGTAGCAGCCACGTGGAGCCCCTTCTGTCCCGATTCATAAGTGAACCGGGACTAAAGGTTTTGGGCTTTAGTCCTGACCTTTTTGTCCCGGTTACAGAAGTGGGACTAAAGGCCCTCTGGAACCGGGACTAGTTCCCTGTTTTCTACTAGTATATCATGAAAATAGAACTACCAATGCTATCTTTCCTAAACAAACAAGGCACCACTAAAAAAGACACTTTATTCACAATATTCGGGTATTTACCCTAGCAAAAAAAATCAAGGTAATTAAATCTACCTATTTGGAGATGAAACATTCTAGAGACCCATGTACAAACATATATTTTTTAGTTGGCCTAGCACAAAGATCTGAGATATTTAAGAAAGTTCTAGCATATTAGGAAAAACAAATTAAATATGGATAAAGGACTATAATAATTGTATGTACCACAAAACCCCCCAAAAAATCAAATTTAATTTTGTATATGGAACATACTGTTGCCAACGGATTCTCAAATTTCTTTTCAAGAAACCGAAATCCGATTGAAAGCATACCTTGCAACTATGTTGATGTGTATATAAGTTAAAGTGCACACTGTTTTGTGAAAGATTTTAGTCATTTTTCACTCAATAGTAGATGTGGCAAAGTTCTTAGCAATACATTTCCATATTATTAATGGGTGCCTTTCCAAAAACAAAAAAGTTATTGCCTATTTAGTAATCTTACATCTTAGAAGGTAAGAGATTATTTGTCACTTGGATAAAAAATATAGGCAGGTAAAGTAGTTTGGGGCTATTTTAAACATTCTTATCATAACTGTTTGGTCTACATAATGATATTTAAAATAGATTGTATCTATTAGATCTATCTGACCATAACTAAACCGATTGCATACATTAGGTTTACATGATCACACCTAAACAAAATGCATACATTAGATTTTTCATAATTGTACCTAATCAAATCGTGAATGGCAGAATTTTGTACCTAATAAAAACCACAATCGACAGATCATCATACTTGCACTTAGATATATCCCACAAGAACACTATTTCTTAACCACACATGTTAATTATTAGTTTATTTTTCTTTTCTAGCGGGAAAAACTTCCTCTCTATTCGTCATCTGTCATGTCAATACAAGGAACATCAGAAATAACAAAAAAAAATCCAGGTCCAAAGACTACCTAGCCACATGTCAATAATTAGTAGTTAGTTGAATTATAAATAACAAGTACATGTTACAGCTGATTTTAAAATAGTACAATAAAATCGGTAACATCTACATAAGATAAAAAATAAAAATCAACTCTTTGATAAGACCCAATACAAAGAAGTTAAACTATTCATTGTGGACGATCTCTGCAAGAGAGATTGCATCCAGTAAGCATGGAATCTTGTTCCGTCTTTCTACGCACAGAAATCTACCAACCATAATGAATATAGCTTCAACTTTAACCCAAGTGAGCATAGCTCAGATGCTTAGCTTCATTGTGCTGGAACTAACCCATTAGGATTTAAGTCCTAGACTTGGCACTGGTACTTGTGTTTTTTAAATTTATTTCAGATTTTTTTATCGACAATGAGGCACATGTGGTGACTTCGTCAATCCCAAAATATTGTGTCGGCTCAGTATCTCAGATGCGCTCATATTTATGCCGGCTCAATATGTCAGAGGTTCTCATAGAATACGTGTGCATGCGTTTATATGAATGAGTGTATGCGCGTATACATGAGCATTAGCATTTGTATATATATTGTATAAATAATCTAACCGCACATGTGGTGAGAACAGTCTGGGCGGGGCCACACGTCAGTGGCATAACGGAAGCGTCCGTCCGTCCATCTGGAACGGGAAAGAACGAACAGAATCAGATGAAGCGACGTGATTGCTAGCGAGCGGAGGAAGCTATAGCCGGCAAGGCGAGTGCAGCGCAGGGGCCCATCGGCTTCCAAAGCTAGCAGCTCGGAATCAAGCCGGCCACGTTCCCGAACCAGCTCCGCTATCGTCCCCATGCATGGTCCTACAAAAGCGCGGCAGCTGATTTGCTTTCACCCCGCAAAGAAGAGAGAACAAAGGCACGAAGAAGCAAGAGAAAGCAAAGCAAAGCGAACCGAGCCAAAGCGCCACGAGCATCGATCAATGGCCGGAGGAAAAGAGGATTGGGGTTGGGGGATAAGAATGTTTGGCGGGCAGGGATCACAGATTCCCTCCTCTTCCAAGTCACGTCCGTAAAAAGGCGCATTTCGCGCGATCTAAGTGCGCATTAGACGCGCACTTGTGGTGGTGATATGCTTTGGTTACCCCCCTTTCCATAACACCATATTTGATCTCGCCTGCCTGCCTTGCCATTGTCACTGTCATTGTCATCATGCAGCTGTGCTCTCCTCCTCTTCTTCTTCTCCCTTCGCTTTTCTCTACTGCTCCCACCAGCTTCATATAGTGGCCGGTAGCTCAACGACGTCGTTGCTGGGTTCGTTCCGTTCACTGTGTAGAGAGAAACAACATTGCCTCCTTGGGTTCTGGTGGCGAGGAGGAGAAACTTCAGAAGCAGAGGAGGGCCTCTCTCTATATGGGAAGACGGCCGGATAGGTCGCTAGGGGCATCGGCGTGTTGCAAGCGAGTGGTGGCCGTCATCTTCCTCGTGTGTGTTGCCCTTCTTGTGGTGATGGTGGCGACGACGAGTGGTGCTGGCGTCGGCTTCGGTCCAGCTCAACCCGGTGGCAGAGTGAGTACGAAGAGCTCCCCGGTGCAGAAGCCAGGTGGCGGACAAGCCGGCGAGGACGCGTACCGAAGCAGCAAGAGGAGGATTCCCAAGGGGCCAGACCCTATCCACAACAGGTAAATTTTGATTGATTCATGTTTGATGCATATGCATGCACATGTTGTTTTCCTTCGCAGCATGCATTCTGCCTCTCTACCTGAAATATCTCCTGTTTTTGGCAAAGTTTATAATTTTCTAGCACATTCATCAAGAAATGGGAGATAGTTTTGCATCATCAAAATTGAAATGTTTATGACTCTTAACTAGTGGATCAAAATTGATCGACTGAACTGAATAAATGACACGGCCTGAAATACTCTGCTCCTTGATACTCTGCTCTGTTGTTATTTACAATTACAAGCACTCTGATCATTTGTTTCTCCGGAACAGACTCTGCTCAGTTGTCGGCTCTGCTGTCATGCAGTGAACAACAAGCAGAAGTCTAGAGATGATTTGAAAGTTCTGCCGCATAAAATAGCAATGAAAAATTTAAACACAGTTCTTATGCTTCTTCTCCCGGTGAAGGCCACAGAAATCTGTAGTTCTTGTTTACGATAAAAATATGTCTGTGTGGATTGTAAGATTTCCAATGAGTTGTTGCAATAAAGAGGTCTTGGTATGGTTTGGCATTTCGTGAGCAGAATAATAAAAAGGAACAAAGCAAGCGTACACTCTGAGCCAAGCACATCATTTCCGAAGTCGCTTTACTGACAAGAAGAGTGCCAGTGGTGCATACTTCATTCCCATTAGGGACACCTAAGATTCCATTACTAGAACCTTATCTCCCTGCTTTTGATGATTTACCTAGGGAAACTAAAATCAGGCAGCACACCTAGATGATTGGGCAATGTGGTTTGCACAAATGTAGCCTCATCAGAAAATAACTGAATATCTCAGTGGGTCTCACAGATAACTGCATGAGAGGGACATAAGCTGTAAACTAAACAAAATTAAGTAGCCCACTAACTAATCGGCATCTTCTGTTTTGGTTGCCACCTCCAAGTCTGATAGAACTGTGCTTTCAGGCGTGCCGGGAAGACCACGATTGCGCCACGCCGGAGAGACTAGTACCGGCGAGATGACGACCACCCACCCGGTCTTCTTATCGGCAAATGTTGCGACGGGGAAGCTTGAGGCGGAGAGATCAGCTCTCCTACAATGTGGATTTTGGTAGTGGGGGTAATGTACAAAAGTTGCGATCTTCCCGCAAAAAAATCTGTCATTTTTTTGACCGAGATTGATCGACCGATCTACCTTTCGCATATCCTTTCGAGATTTCTTTTGAATCCGTGGTGATTTTGCCCAAATTTGTTTCTGTTTGTGTGTGTATTTATCTATCAGCATGTACGCAGATAAGCAGAGTGCTCTGCTGCGCCAGTAAGTGAACCCACTGATGAGCTCACTATATGCCAGTAGCACCTATGTAAATCAAATTTTGTGGTTTGCAATAAGAGCCAAAGATTTGCCGAAGGGCGTATTTTATGATTTGCGTCGCATGTATGGCCGCGTGGCACAGATATGCATGGGACATGAATCTTCTTGGCCTGGAAAGCATGAGAGAAATATAACAGGAGAGGCAGAGAAAGAGCTAAAGCTTCGCATCGATGCGTACGGCTCGCGTGTGCATGCGGGTGTGAGACTGGTGGTGCTTTTTTCCTTTTACTTCTTTTCTTGCAACCGTGTATTTTGAAGTAACCGAGGAGGGAAAGAAGAGGAAAAGAGTAGAAAGGCACGTATGGGCGTGGATGTGCACGTCGTATCGGGTTCAGTCATTTTTCTTTTTTTGAGGGGAACGGGCTCAGGCATTTTGAAGTTTAAAAAATATGAAAACAGCTCGAATACGACAAATGCTATAAGATGTGGACTTAACATTTTGATGCAAACATATCACAAATTCGCCTGTACAAAGATGAGCTAAGAGCACTCTCAAACCACACGCAACCGTTCGGACCGTGCGGTCTGGACGTGTTTTGCCATTCAACACGGTCCAGTATCGGCCCACCGTCGGTCCGGACGCACATTTTCCCGCAAATCGCTTTTGGTTACCCTGGCCCACCTAAAATCCTTCTCCCTCGCCTGGGTGCTTTTCCGCTCGACACCAGCTACCCGCATTCATGCCGCTGTTAGAGCAACCGCTACGCACTTATGTCGTATCAAAGCGGAGGCGACCACTCACTACCGGCATTGAAGAGGCGCGCCGGCAGAGAGAGCGGCGCGCCGGCTGAGAGAGCACTGCCCGCTGCAAGCCCGGCTGAAGACACCTCCTCGACACATTCAAACGGCTACTTACTGCCCACATACCTTCATTAAACCTGCGCGGGTGCCGAGAAACCTACTCCGGCCACACGTCTGTTCACAAGCCGGCCAGCAATAAACACAACCCCGGTTATCTCCTCGCGTCCGTCCACTATTTAAACGAGGCCAGCCGCCGGGCAAGAACCGCACCACACCTCCGCTCCCCATTTTCTCCTTGCACCATATTCTCCACACTCTCCATGCCATCTGGCGAGCAGGAAGAGGGGTTCTTCGGCATAAACGCTGGCTTGCTGGCCCGCCGAGCCCACCGGATGCAAGCTAGGCAACTCGCTGTCTACCTTCCTCGCCGCTCCAGGCCGTGAGTACAATGGGCGAGGCTGAAGGTGGGTGAATGGAGGAGCAAATGGCCGCTCCAATCCGGCGCGTGGTTCAATAACTCGCTGCTCCAAGCTAGCTCACAAAGGAGTGACAAGTTGTTGTAGACCGGCACGCGGTTGAGCACAGCAGCACGGGCATTATGCTTGCCATGGATGAGGCGGTATCGTACCGCTCCTCCCACGCTATCCGCCATCAAAGTGCGTTGAACTGCACCTTGCCGACGATGAAAGAAGCTAGCTCAGACAGACAAAATCAATATAGATGAGAAAATGCCACAGACACTCACACAGACCAAGTCAACATCTTGAGTTGTGCCGATGACGGATCCCGCTACCCACAAACTAAAAAGATGGTTAAGTGGTGGTGGAACCCCGGTGACATGTACCCATATTGGCTTCAATGGTTATATATTGGCCTGACATCGGACTCAGATTTCCATTCACTAATAGAAATTACCATATAGGGGGATTTGACCTTTAACTCAAAAGCATGCACCCTTTATTAAACCTCCATAGATGAGAAAAGCAACAAGGAGCATTTTGAGGCAGGCAGATCTGCCTCAACTAGAGCACATGCCTCACAACAAGTACGAGACATGATTAATTTTGAGTGAATGTCCATGAGCTGAGTTACGGATGAAAATTTTCCTTAAGAATACAAGAAATCAATTAAGTATTGGCCTAAATTGCCAAGCGGTTCATTCACAAAAAGAAAATAGCCAAGCGGTTGTATATAGTCTATATTCCGGTAAAGTTAGCCTATTGGACAAGATGAGACATAGGCTTCAGATTGCAGATAAGAGGGGTTTCGGGATTCTCAGCCTTTCACAAACTGATGCGAAGAATGCAGCAAGAAGTCCTGCTGAGGAAGAATGCGAACCAGATGGGCACAATCGCAGGATGGCAACACATAGTTACTAAGCATAGAGCTCCGGGGTAGTATAGGCAATGCTCCAATTCCCCATGCATCCAAATTCAGACATCATAGTGCTACTCAATGTCCTCATCACCCCATACCCGCTCTCATCCACTGAGACAAAAACATGAAAAACGAAAGCAAAATATGTAGAACTATTTCTAAGTCTTGTGAGCTATAAGTAAGAAGGAAGACGATAGGTGCCTTACTTAAGGACGCCATGCAAAGGTGTCTGGGACTTTAGTTCTTCAACCACAGTTAGCCGGTTATCCCACTCAGGTATTCGTACACTGGTAGGGAATCAATAAACACTCTGAGACGTGCTTCCATACACCCCCAATAGATTCCCAAAAAAGGTAGTTTTGTCCATCCTTAATTATCTAAAACTGATCAAGATTAGTTAGTAATTGTCCCTCTCTCTCAACCAGAGGGCGTATGCATGAGTGGAATCAACGTCTACATGATGGAAGACATGTAGATATGCATGTTTTTCCTATGAATTAACATGTGAAGTAGAGTGAATTGCAGAAAACATCGACATTGAAGGCTAGGTTTGTAGGAATCACAAGTCTACGAAATATTGCCCAAAACCATTAATTTTCTGCAACAAACACTAGTTGACGGCTTTGGTCGTTTTGATGACGATTATGACAGATAGGTCCCATAAATGATGACGTGGTGTAATTGTTCACGGGGACGGCGTTAAGCATCTCGATTTTCTAGATTTACAAAAGGGGCCCTGTAGTTTTATAGGGACACCCTTCAATCAAAGAGCAAAAAGCAATCCACTCCATCCATAGATTTGGGCTGCCCAAGCAGCCCAGCCGAGAAGAGCAGCAGCACGCCGGCAATGGGTCTCGCCGCCGGTCGCCGCGGCCCAAGGGCATCCTCAAGGCGACTGTCGTGGACACGCTGAGCAAAGGCGGCAGAGGCTGGGCCCGAGGAACAACCCCTCACAGCGAGGTGCGCTACCCGACCTCGGCGCTCGGCCTGGAGGTGGCGCCCTCTGCGAGGCCGGCCGCATGGCAAGGCGGTGCTGCAGGTCGCCATAGCCGCCGAGCTCCTGCACGCATCACTCCTCCGTCGCCTCTCGCTCACTGGTGGACTGACAGTGCCCTCCTCAGCAGCTGCTCTAGGCGCGAAGGGGGCTGGGCTGGCGGCGCCGACTCCTGGATCCAGTCGAGAACGGCGGAGGGGCAGCACAGGGGCGTGATCTCAGGGATGTCCATGGCGGCGACACCTGCGGAAGAAGAGAGGGAGCTCAGGGAGGGAAGAGGAGAGATGGGAGAGGAAGGAGCGGAGGAGTCAGGTCGCACATCGGCGCGAGTTGCCATGTCGCCCCGCCGCCTGGAATAGCTCGTTTGCTGATGTCGAAGGAACATCTGCCACGAGAGCTGGCCGACGCGTTCTCGCCGGATCCATTGCCGGGCCGGAGCGTTGGAGGCCCGATGTGGCTGGATCCGGCTCTGGACACGACGGCAGCGGCCCAGGGAGGGAGGCCTGGCGACGTGAGTGTGTGGGCGCCTGCCGCCGGCGGGGCCAGAGTTGAGGCTGGCCTGCACGCGTGCAGGGAGCGAGGGGTGCTGTTTTGTAGATTTTTTTAGGCAGGAGTTTTTGGCAAAAAAAAACATGTAACGCCGTCTAGCTCGTGAACAGTTACGCCATGTCATCATTTATGGGACCCACCTGTCATAATAGTCATCAAAACCATCAAAGCCGTCAACTAGTGTTTTTTGCCAAAAAAATAGACAAAAAATTAGTGGTTTTGGGCATAATTCCGTAGATTTGCGGTTCCTACAAACCTAGCATTCAATGTCGATGTTTTCTGCAATTCACTCTATAAAGTAAGAAATTGTCATGATTGTACTTTTGTTCCGCGTCTATTATTTATTTCAGGAATTTTTGTTTTCACTCTTGTGCACGTTCCTCACAAGAACAAAACGTCATTAATATGATACAACAAATCAACTAAATGTTTCCCTAGATTGCCAAGCGGCATGGCAGTTTACTCTTTTCCACATGTAATTTCCTTTCAGTTTACTGACACGATAGGCAGGAAAGTGTCGCTCATGCCAGAAAAGACGATGTCCTAGGACATATCCGGCACATACATAAGATGACTTGAGCTCCGATCCTTCACAGGTTGAGAGACATATAGAGCAGAGACTTTTTTTCTTCTTTTTTGAAATGAAACCGCAAACCAGAAACTGACTTTTTTTAATGGAGACAAAAACACGTCTCATCTATTAATTAAGAAGAGAATAGAGTTTGAGTTACAAAGACACCACAATACACAAATACGTTACTCTTCCGATATAAATGTTCCAATTTCTTCGCACCCACTGAAATCCAAAGCTTCGCCTCACATTTGATGCTCTGATCAAGATTATCCATGGTGCTATTTTGGCGAAATACTTGGGTGTTCCTTTCCTTCTATACGGCTGGTGGTACTTGGTAGCATGGTGTTAAGGTGTATCGGTGGCGATCGCGATGTGCTCAGCTGTTTGCGCGCAAGGAGA